CTTCTTGTACAAAGATGCTGTAATTTCTGGCGGCTGCCTGCCTTCTATATGATTTCCTCTGGCTTTTTGGAATTAGCCTTTGATTATGTATGCATTCTTGAGAGTTCATCATCTAGCAAGGCAAAAATCTTGCAGCCATTGAGAGAATTGTTAGATGGGCCAGTAGAAAATGTCCTGAGACTAAGAAATGGGTTCATGTTCAGGCTCTAAGTCTTAGCTTTTTGAAATGCAGAAAAGAGGTTTTGGACTAGGTGGCAGCTAAGTTTCACTACAGTTCTCATAGTACACTATGCTTTAAGCAGATTTTTAAATACAAAGCTTTTCTTGAGACATTTAACAATACTCTCTCCAGTTTATGAGCTTCTGTCATGCCATGATGGGCCGACTGCATGGACTGAAGAACGCTTTCCTCAGATTTCATTATCTTGGGGCATCACCACCTCACGGGCTAAAATGAGTCATTTTGTTCACTGCATCTGCAGCCTTTGCTGAAATGGAGGTTTTGGGATAACAACTTAAAGGCTAACTCATTAATGCTTGAGATGAATGAGGTAATGTGTCAGCAGACCATATCGGTGCCCAGCTAGAGCTCTGTATCTCTTTCTCAAGTTGTGATGTAATAATGGGGATGTCTTTACCCATTGTCACTGCCTGTCCACATTTGAATAACATAAATGCAATACCTTCTGGGCACCCAGCCCCATGCTCTATCATTTTCTCAAACTCCAAGGAGCAAAATTCTAATGATGCCACAAGGTGCCTAATAAATAGAGATTCAGAAAACAGAGTCAGCGTGATCCCTGTTTTTATTTTCCATCCATGTTTACTAGTGAGAGCTAGACCAATCCTAACTATTTGATGGGAGCAATGGAGTAAATTAGACTCCCAAGTTGTGAAGGCTGTGGATTTATGGTTAACTGAGAGCATTTCTGTCCTCTCTGTGTTGAAGTGGTTGACCTTTCCAACGTTAATTTGTTTCCCCATCTGTGCCATGCTTTTCAGGAGGACATAGAGAACAGTTTTGATGCCACCCAAAGTGCTTCCCCCACCATTTGTATTGCTCAATACTTGATTTTTCCCTCTGTCCTCTGTTCAGAATCTCCTGCTTGATATCTGCTAATTTCTGAATTCTTTCACTGATCTAAATGATATTATATGGTCCTTTGCTGGTAACATGGTAAAACTGGATGGTTTGAAAGAGAACTATATTTGAGGACATAGTTGCAGTTTACTAATCTGAATAACAGCATTTGTAATATTTAATTATGCAGTTAGTTTTTCTGACTCTTGTAAGATTAAAAATGCTTGAGGTTGAAGAGTGAAGAAGACAGAGCTTTTTAAATAGATCCCTACATCTCTTTATCTGTGCTAATTTAATACAAACTTAGTAGAAATTGGGCAGAGTGGATTAGTCAATGCATCAATACAAATTCCTATTTAATGTAATCATTTTTGCAGCCTGATGGTTTTAGACAGATTCGAGCCCTCTGCAATGAATCTTTTATACTACATGTTTATTTAAAAAATTACTGCTACTAACCACAGACACACTATTAATTTAACATTTACTGTTGAAATGGAATCTATATTATTTCCCCATTTTACAGAGCAGATCACCAAGGCTCAGAATTCAACTGGCTTTCCTATGCATATACAGCTAAGGAATAAGAAAGCGTGGTGTTGGCTCTAACTTTATTGCCCACTACAGGTGTTTGTGTTAAGGAATTATTTTTGCAAATGTCTTGGATTGTTTGCGTTCAAATTCCTCATTGGGTATCTTTTTGATCTCATGGTTGTTTCAATGACTATGAGTTCAAAACGGCATGCTGAAAGGGGGGAGGAGAAGACATTATGCAAGAGAGGTCTCTTGGCACTTTGTTCCCTGTGGTGAGCCTTCTTTTTTGTTCAGTTTGGCAAGTCATGATTGAGGACAAGTAGATTGGTTAAACCTAAAAAAAAAAAAAAAAAAAAAAAAACCCTTGTTTTCGTGCCTGTCCCTTAGTGCTAAAGCCTGTTTATCCCTTCCTTGTGTTTCCTCTTTGCTTCTTTTGGGGGCATTCTGGTCTTGCTAGCTCTGCTACAGTTTCTGGGCCTACTTGGAATCTGAGAGGGTTGAAGGTATATAAGATGGAGTCAATTTTGTTGGCAATACGGCAGACTATGACTGTTGTTAAGTTCAGCCCTGTATGCTCAAGCAGAGAGGCAATGACAAACGGTTTATTGTAAGGCCTTTGATTTCCTTTGGAATTGTAAGCATCTAGGCTGACTCATCTCTCCAAGGCTCGCTCACTCCCCCCCCCCCCTCTCTCTCTCTCTCTCTTTTCAGGCTGATGATGATTTGAGGTTTCATTGTTTGTTTTCACTTTTTTTTTTGAGGAGGGGAGGGATTTATTTTCATCTTGTATTTTTGGGGAAAGAACCAGCTCTGCTCTTTGCGTGAACAGCTCTGGTAAGCATCAGGAAGAAATAGCTGCAACTCCAAGAGAGGTACAAAGATGTTTGGACTGGAATAAGGGTGTGGGGGGGACTGGGAGATCAGAAATTTGAAACCAAAGCTAGACTGTGTGACAAGATGAGACCCTCATTTGATAGTGTTTAGGTTTGTTATTGTTGGTGGGGCTTGCTAGAAGTTCAGTCTGAATTGCACTTAAATGCACATGCCTTTGGTTTAAATGGTCACTTTTGATTGTTATTTGGTGGTCGAGCTTAGGTTCATACCTTGGGTTCAAGGTATGTGCTTTGCAATTGAATGAGCTTTAGAATCTGTGGGCTTTCATCTTGGCTTCATCTCAATGCCAAGAAACAGCCTTCATTCTTTCTCAGGCTGGGTCTCAGTTATCCAGCAGACGTTTCTGGTATCTATGGCTTGCTATTAAGGTAAGTGGGTAAAAGAGAATTTTGTTGATAAAACTCAAGAAGTATGTTTTCTTCATAGATTCTATACCTCATTTATTTAGACTACTGTATGATAAATACTCTTCTTTGTCAACAATCACATAATCTGATCTTTGAATTTTAAGCTGCTCTCAGGATAATATATAGAACATGTTTGTAAACCCCCAGATGAGAAGAAAGCTTAGAAAATTGGTATGAGGTTACTTTCTTTTGTCAAAAGGCTTAGTTCCCCATGTCCCAAATTACTTTCTCTGACTGAAACTAGCCTTAAACGTATCCACAGAAACCATAAATGTGGAAGCTATCTTAAACTTTCCCTTTCCATTCAAATTAATTTTGCCCTAAATCTTGTCATTTCCATGCAGGATATCTGATATATGTAACCAACCCTTTGCCCCTTAGCTGATTTACTTGCTTCAGGCTTTCTACTCAAACTAGAGTTTTCATGGCTCTTTGTGATTTTTCAGTTACAGCTATGACTCTGTCACTTCCTGCTTAAAACCCTATAGTGGTACCCTATTTCCTGGAGAAAAAAAGTCCACCCTTTTAACATGGCATTATGGGGCCTTTCATGATTTATCTTCTTCCAGCTTCTGTATATTGCTTTAGGTAGATATCAATCTTTCTTTCATCTCTTTGTCTTTGCACAAACTGTTATCTTGTCTCTGTCTCTGTCTCTGTCTCTCTCCTCTGTCTTCTTCCCCCTTCCCTTGACTCTGTGTCCAGGCAGACTTAGGTACTACTTTCTCCTTTCTGTTCTCACAGTTCTTTGTTTATACCTTTGCCAGCAGCCATATCAAAAGGTTTTATAAACTGTTGCTAGCCTGTCTATGGCTTTCACTGCACTGTACAGTCTTTTATGAAAGGAACAGTATCACAGTAGGCAGCAAATACAGATTTGTTTTTTCTTTTAATAAATGACTGAAAGAAAAAATGGGTAACAGAAGATGTGAGAAAAGATGCTATGTAGGGTCCAGGGAGGGCTCCACTGAGGAGTGTGAAGCCTGAGCACAGCATCAGTTAGAGCCATGGAGGAAGGACAACTAAAAACACTTTTGTCATTACATTAAGACAAACTTCACTGTGATCACTAATTCTGTTTAGAGTCTCACTAGAGATGATCTAGAGATGAAGTTTTTTTTCATAAAAGTTGATTCCCCTCCCCCAGGGAATGCAACACAATCAGATTTATTAAATGAGAAAAAGTAAAAGCAAACAAAATATTGCCACTAAAGACTATTTGTTAGAATTTAGGGGTATTTGTTTTAGTGTTTTATGCATGTTTTTCTTTACATAAAGGTGATCATAACTTCTGCATTTTGTATTTGTTGTTGAAAATCTCTTTATAAGCATCAATATATGGTTGCATCATTTTCCATGCTATTTATTACATAATCTATATAACTAACCTCATTACTGGGCTAGTTTTTTATTGGATGGTTCATTTGTATATGATATTTCCTGTCTGTAGCAAGATTTCATTAGAATAGATTCCTAGAAGGGAAATTACTAGGTCAAAAGGTCTGGGGACAAATTTTGGCTTCAGATCCATGTGTCCAGTTTGTCTTCTGAAAGAGTTATTTAAACTTAAAATGCTCCCAGCTTGATTAGATGCCTCCTATCTATCTAACCCAGACAGCTTTAGGGCATCATCATGAAAAGAAAAATTATCAGTGCTCTAATTAGTTAATAGAAATTATTATGTTTTATTGTTGTATCAAAGTGCTTTGAAAAAAATACAAGATTACTTGGTTTTTAAAAACCTGTTTTTTTTTATTTTTGTTAGTTTTTTTTCCTCTTTTCTGAACTGCCTATCAGTTCAGAGCTGGGTTTTTTTTTCAAGTTGCGTTTGCTTCTCCAACTCCCCTTGAATAAGCTAGTAGAGACAGCCCAGCTTGAGAGTGAAGCCACCTCCCAGTTTTCCCTCCCTCTTTACCTCTCCCCCACAGTTCCCTTCACTAGGTCCAGTGACAGTTGGATGATACAGTCTTGGTTTCCATCTGATTCCAGAATGGGTGGCTGCATCCCTTTTCTGAAGGCAGCAAGGGCACACTGCCCCAAAATCATGCTTCTTTTGCTGTTGTTGTCTGCCTTCATTTATTTAGTGAGCGTCCTGGGAGGAGACCCAGGACAGAACCCGGACGGCACGATGGACATGGTATCCATACACAGCCTCTCCGAGCTGGAGCGCCTAAAGCTGCAAGAGACTGCTTACCACGAACTCGTGGCCAGACATTTCCTCTCTGAATTCAAGCCGGACAGGGGTGAGCTATACCCGGAGTGTGGCGTCCTCGCTTTCTGGCGAGTAGACCCCCGGGCGGGATGGGGCAGATAGGAGGTCCTGGAGGGTGGGGGCGTCTCATAAGGGGGTCCCTGGCCCCCCGGGAACGGAGGAAAAGGGAGTTCAAAACTATCTGTAGAATTTTAGAAGAGACTCCAAAGATTAGTTGAGTAGTCGAAGCTTGGGGTTGTGAGGGGACCGTAAGCCCGGTAAGACCGAGGACAGGTGCAGACACTGGGCTCACCAGGTGTAGTGAGAAAATCGGGCAAAGAGGGACCTAGGCTCAAAGGGGACACTTTAAAAGAGGACTGGGACGGGAAGAGACTGCTCGGTGGGGAGAGGTAGAGACAGTGGGAAAGAGGCAGAGAGAGACGCGCCAACCCCGGTAAAGAGCTGGAAGGCGCCCGCTGGCTTGGGATTGGCAGCGGTGCGCTCAGAGCGCAACCCAGCTCTGCTGGCTGCGGGGAAGTCAGGGGACCAGGCACAGGACCGGATCCCAGGGCTCGGGAAATCTCAGGGGTGCGCACAGATTTGACTGCAGGCTATAGGGGAGGTGGGAGATGTGGGAGATGTTCGCGATGCTCGAGGGGCTCTCCCTTAAGACTGGGAAGTGCAGGGGTGGAAGTCACGTTAGCAAGGCGCGCACCTCTGGCGCAGCTTGAACTGGGTGAAGCAAAAAGGCAAGGAGACCCCGCTGGTAGTCATCGCTGCGGGGGGTTGGAGCAGAGAAACAGCCAGGTATTGCGGATTCTCTCCCCGCAGCACAAGGAGCCGACGGCAAATCTGCTCGTGAGCGCTTCCGCAGTAACTTGGCGACCCTCACCCGTGGTGGCGCTGCAGGCAGAGCCCCTCCCCTCGCCTGTTGCATGATCTGAGCGCCTCTGAGCTTTTGAATTTACGTTTTAAGTGTTGTGCTGAGAAATTATTAGTTCATAACACGATGCATCCAGCTCATTAAACTGGTTAGGTTAAATTTTTGCAATCTTACATGTGCTAGGTAGGACAAATCTTGTTGTCAAGAGGGGAAACAGAGGCTGGGGGAAAGCAAAAACACTTTTCTTGGGCTGGACAGCTTCCCACTCCACCTCCCCACTCGGCAGATCAATTCATTGCGATGCTTTAGTTACTTAACACTTCCTATATGAATGTGAATGTATATGTCTTTTCTTTTTTCCTTTTCATAGCTCTACCCACTGGCCGTCCAAACACCCTGAAGAAGTGGCTTAAGACTCTGAGAGGACGGGAGAGGGGTGAGGGGGCTTTTTTCTTTTCCTTAGGAAATAAATAAAAGACAAAATCCCCTCTGGTCGTGTGTCCCTGCGTACTGTATTCTTGCTGATGCTGATTGCTTCTGAGGACTCTTCCTCTTCGTCCCAGAAACCCCGCCCCCCCAGGGTTGCATCAGAAAATGGAGGAATAACTGCTTGCTCCTGCCTTAGCTTCCCTGTGGATGTACCCCAGATAGATCTCCCTCATTGCTTCAAGGTGGTCAAACACTGGCAAATATAGGCAGGGATGAGACCTTCAGCTAAGTCGGGGTAGCTGAGTAATGTTGAGTCATCTTTAACTATTTCAGGTTCTTGCTTCCCAGGGAGGGGCGCTGTGGGACTCGTGGGAGGGGTTGATTATTGATGAATGCTAGGAAGAGTACCATAAGTCCATGTAGCCCACCTAATACAAATGCTGCGGGTCTTTGACGTTTCTCATTCTTTCCCAGCCGCGTCTCTCAAGACCTTTGGCGTCCGCCTGGAAGAGGCGCTGGTCAATGAAATTACCCGCCGCAAGCACCTTGAACTGATGGCGGCAATGGAGGCTGAAAATGCCACAGGTTCCGGCCATCAGGGAAACGCGGTGCAAAGGATGTTTGGACGCATGCGGCGCTTTTTAGGTCACAGGAGGAATGCGCCCATCCTGCCTACAGAGTTCACTCGCCGTGGTCGTCGAGTGAGTTCAGTCTTAGAGGTTTCAGGCAAGGGGCCCTTTGTGGAGAGGAGTCAAAGCTTGTATCCTTATGGTGTCCTTATGGTGTGGAGACTGAACAGAAATAGAAGGGGTGGGCTCGTCTTACCACAGAGAGATTATCAGGTTCTGAATGTCAGGCAGCACTCAGGACGGTCCCAACGAATGCCCCTTCTCCATTTTAAGATAATCTGGATTTTCCCACAGGGTGCAGTGTCTGCGGATAGCGTGGCTGAACTGAAGGATGGGGCCCTGCTGATGCGGACCCTACAGCTCTCCCATCATTCATTTCCTATCGGGCAGCGCCTTCTGGGATCCAAAAGGAAGATGAGCCTCAACCCAATTGTTCAACAAGTCCCCCAGGTTGTTGAGACTTGCTGCAAGTTCATTGAGGAACATGGTAAGGAAGCCATATTAGAGTTAAATCAAGGAAGGCGACAACTAAAGGGAAAGGGAAGAATGTTCTAGAAAGGGAGAGAGAGAAGCAAGAGGATGGAGGGCTTGAATAGACTTCCCCTGATGTCCTGAAAGTTGGGATGCAACTGCTAAAGGAGAAAAAGGGAAGCAATTGGAAAACAAGGGTCATAGATGCTTAGAACTCTGATCTCTTCTTTCAGGGTTAAACTCCGTGGGGATTTTCACCATTGAGTACTCCTTCCAGAAAGTGCTTCAGGTAAACTGACTGTATTTGCATGTTTGTTCTTTAGGTAAGAAAAGGAAGAGAGGAATAAGGGTTCTCTCATAGACATAGGGTAGTGGCATGATTGATGGGGGGAGTAAGATCATCTTTTTTTTTTTTTTGATTTTTCGAGACAGGGTTTCTCCGTGGCTTTTGGTTCCTGTCCTGGAACTAGCTCTTGTAGACCAGGCTGGCCTCGAACTCGCAGAGACCCCTAGATACACAACATTGCCAGCTGTCTTCACTGAAGCCTTACACTTCTTGAATAACTGTTCAAGACCAAGACTATGGTGGGAAAGGCAGACTTTTTACATCTTTTTTTCCCCTTTTTAGCTCCGAGAGTTATTTGACAATGGTATGGATATTGAACTGAATGACAGCGTGAATGTCCATGATGTGGCCGCACTCCTCAAGGATTTTTTCATTGAAATGAAGGACTCCCTGCTGCCTGATGATCTGTACATGAATTTCCTCCTGACTGCAAGTGAGTCTTCTGCCCCCCCCCCCCCAATGGTGGTGCAAGTAAAAGAAGCAATACACAAATCTAGGGAGCATAATGAGAGAACTCAATTTATAGGAGCTTCATGAATCTAGGGTAGAATGAACATCAGAATATACATACCTCTCCAGAATACAAATTCATTATTTGCTAATGAAAATAAAAGTTAATAAAAACCCTCTCAAGGTTTCTTTCTGTGTCTCTTGCTGTTCCCTTATAAATCTATTACTTGGAAATTTCTCTTAAGCTTCTGGAAGTTGTTAATTGTGCCCTCTCAGGGCAAAGAAGAACCAGGCTCTATAGATTTGACTTTGACTTTGAGGTTGAGAAGGGCACTTATTTTCAGAGGCCCTGATCTTAGTCAGATGTCTTGGAAGGAAGCAAAAGCATGTTTCCTGGGTACTGCCTCCACAATCACCAGCAACCATGAGGCAGAAATGTGTCACCTTTGATATCAGGCTGCTGCCAAGACTAGCCCTCTGAGCCACCCTCATTTTCTTTCTTGTAGCTCTGAAGCACAAGGATCAGGTTTCTGCCCTGCAACTGCTGGTCTACTTGATGCCGCCCTGCCACAGCGATACCCTTGAACGTCTACTGAAGACACTGCACGAAATCACTGAGCACTGCGAAGACTCCGTTGGCCCTGATGGACAGCTGGTAACAATTTGTTGGAAAGCATAGTGAAATAATTGGTTGTAAAGTGGGTAAAGAGAGAAAACCAACAATAAAAACTACATTATCTGGGAAGCTTCTAGTGCTACGTCAAGGTTGATCACACTTCCTTACCTAGGTTCCAGGTAACCGAATGACTTCCAACAACTTGGCCTTGGTGTTTGGATCTACTCTCCTGAAGAAGGGGAAGGTAGCCAAGAGGGAATCCAGGAAGATAAAGCTGGGGATTGATCACTATGTTGCATCTGCCAATGTGGTCCGTGCCATGATTGATAACTGGGATGTTCTCTTCCAGGTAAGCAGAGTTTTAAAATATACTTATTCTACACATTCCTCTTCTGTTCACAGGATAAGGGAGAGTTCCATATGTATAACCAAGTCCTCTATTCTAGAAATTCCTTCCATATCTGCTTATCACATTGCCTTCCGTCCCAAACACCTAATAAACATGAGTAAAAATGAGAAGGAATATACAGTTAAGGTTACTATTTTTACCTCCAGGTGCCCCTCCATATTCAGAAGCAGGTTGCAAAGCGTGTGTGGAAGTTCAGCCCTGAAGCACTGGATTTTATCAGACGCTGGAATCTGAGGAAGATCCAGTGAGTGTGGTTTTAACTTCTGGATTGTTTATGTTTAGCCTATAGGACTTACAGAGCCATGCCATCTTGGTTTTAATCAACTTTGGGGCAAACATACTAACTTTTTCAAATTTCTTCCCATTTAGGAGCGCTCGCATAAAGATGGAAGAGGATGCTATGCTTTCTGATCCAGTGGAAAACGTTACTGAAGCCATGGCTGCTGTCCTTGCCCAGAGCCCGCCCTTTGATGAAGGTCAGTTTCCTTCTAGAGACCAGATCTCTTCTAAAAGTCATGCCCTTCTCAAAGGTCAGTCCCTTGCAGAAGGCTAGGCTTTTCCAGATGACCAGGTCCTTGCTGAAGATGATCCCCTTGAGGAAGGAAAGTGAATCCTCCGAGAATAATACGTCTGTAAATGAAGAGTTATATTTGAATATTTCAGGGAGGGAGTAGTTTAGGGGAAAGTTCAAGGTCTTGAAATCCCACATTACCTAGATATTCATGGCCCACATCTTGAGGGCATATGAGAGCTTGATGAAGAAGGTGATGGTGAGGATGAGGAGGGTGCTGGTAAGAATGATGATGACATCTTAAATTTTGATGGCCTACCTCCCATTGAGGATATTCTAGAACTTGATGAAATCCCAGAACTCATTGAGATCCCAAACTTTGAAGAATTACCTTGTTTTGATGTGGTTCCAGGTCCTGAAGAAACCCCAGATATGGAGGATATCTTGAACTCTGGAGACAACCTGAACTATGACTTTGATGAAGGACAATATTATTATTATTATTATGATGACATGCTGGACATTGCAGAGGTTCCCTATCTTGATGTAGTTCCAAACAAGGAAGATGACAAATCAGACACTGATGAAATCCCAGGTAATGATGAAACCCCATACAGTAATGAAGTCCCAGATAATATAAATGCCCCAAGTAATGATGAACATGTTAAATGGGAGTGAATTTACTTGCTCTGTCTTTTTGCCTTCTATCGTATTTGAAATTCAAAACTAGGTGTTGGTGTGTTAGGTTGTGTGCAAAGTATAAAGTCCAGAAACATAAGAAGTTAACATTGCTACTATTTTACAGGTTCCTCTGAGGAGCCCATTGAGCCTCCCACCACTGCCAGTTCCCATGACAACAAGGAAGAAGAGGGTAACCCCCAGGAGAAGGGGGGCAAATCTGGCAAAGGCTTTTCTCCTTAGATCTTTTCCCTCCCTTAAGGTGCTGGACAGGGGAAAGGGGAGGGGGTAGACCTGGAATGCCACAGGAAACATTCAGGAGTCTTGAAGACAAAGACTTGAGGGTAAGAAGGAGTTCCACCTGATGCTCGGGTCAGGATGGGAATTCCAAATACACTGCCAGCCCCATTCCTGGGGATGCTTGGTATCTTCAGCTGGTAAAAGCAGATATAGTTCTGCATCATGCCCAGGCTCCCTGGTGCTACCTTACTTCTCTTTTGCCCCTGATCCAGGCTTTCTCTCACTACAGCCCCCTCCTTTAATTGATGTTACATTTGTGATAAACATCTGTCCCAGAGAAGCTCACAAATCTCGAGGTGCTTTCCCTACCCCCACCCCAGGGGATTGCATGCTTTTCCTGACTTTCCTATTCTCTTCCCCAGAGCTCACTGGAAAGGCCCTCAAGAGGTGTGTTAGAGCGTTAGGTGAGCCTACAGACCACTGAAAAACAATTAATGCTAAACTGTGTCACACCAATTCACACATACCCATGTCCCTGCAGCAATTCCACTGCCTCAGGATTTTCCCCCTCAAATTATTTAGACCAATGGCTCGTCAAACAGCCACTCCCAAAATTCTGTGCAGTGTTGCTCATGACATGCCAACAGGGAATTCTCAAGTGTAAGCCTAAGTAGCTTTTCTGGGGTCAAACGTTAGAGGAAAAAAATAGATTTTAGTCCTGAACATGTTTTAAAGACAGCGAGTGTTCACACCCTGTTGTCAGTAAAACAACTAGCTAGGCACAGACATATAATTCCAAGTAGTCAATGCAACCTGATTACAAACTTTCTTACCTATCGTCTCCGTATTTCCTCTATGCAGGACGGTACAAATTTGGGGACTTGCTCTGGTAAAATACAGATATGGGTTATGTATGACATCCAAATTATAACTGATATTTATGGTTAACAACTGTTAAGGTCCTTAGAATGAAGAAAGTCTTGTATTGAGGGATAGAAACTGATCATACAATGGATAACAACCACAGAGCTCGAAGATTTGTGATTTTTAAAACTTCTCTGGCATTTCATCATTAATAAACATCTGTATTGTGTCAGCAGCATATTCATGGTGTACAGTGTGTTTTTTTCTCTTAGAATTTTGGGGGTGAGTTGGGAAGCTCTAAGTGGTGATCTAAAGGGAAAAATAAGATAAAGAAGAACAAGAAAGGGGAGGGGTTGATATGAAATAAAAACAAGGAGATGACAATATAAAAAGGAGAGAGGATAGGGAACAAAAAGAAGAACTGAATGATATGAGAAGGAGAAGAGGGGATAGGAAATAAAGAAGAGAAGATGAGATGGGATAAAGAGAATGATGGGGGATAAACAGGGTATGACATAAAATAAAGGGAAAGATGATGTTGAATGAAGAGGAATGATATGGGATAAGGGAGATAGGTGATGGGGAATAAAGAGGAGATGCCATGAAATAAAGGGGAGAGAGAATGGTTAATAAAGAAGAAGTGATGATATGGGATAAAGATTCAGAGGTGGTGAAGAATAAAGAAGAGGGGATGCCATGGCATAATATGAAAGGATGATGGATAATCAAAAGGAGGGGATGACATGGTATAAGGGGAAGGGATGATTGTAGATAAAAAGAAAGGGATGGCATGGTATAAAGGGGATAGATGACAGTGGATAAGGAAGAGGGTATGATATGGGTAAGGAGGAAAGAAGATAAAAAAATAAAGAAGATGGAATGACATGGGATAAGGGGGTGATCAGGAATAAGAACGAGGGACATATATGGGAAGGATGATAGGGAATAAAATGGAAGAAAGGCGGGCAACAAAGGGGAGGGGATGACAGGATAATGGGGAGGGTTGATTGTAGATAAAGATGAGACTATAGCATGGGCTTAAAGGAAAAGATGGTTGATAAAGAGGAAGGGATGAAATGGGTTAAAGGGGCATACGGAGGGTACAGCATGGGATGAAGGGAATAGATAATAGTGTATGAAGAGAAGGGAATGATATAGGATAAGGTGGAAGGGTGGTGGGGAACAGAAGGGAGATGGTATGGGATAAAGGGGAGGCATGATGGTGGGTAAAGAAGACAGGATGATATAGGGTAAGAAGGAGAGATGATGGAAAATAAGATGGGTTGACATGGGGCAATGGGGTGATCAGGAATAAGGAAGAGGGGGTGATGGCATAAGAAAAGGAAGATGGGAAAAAGAGGAGAGGGTAAAATAGGATAAGGGGGAGGGGTTATTGTGCATACAGATTAAGGGGTGGCATGGCAAGAGGGGGTGATGTGGAATAAAGAGGAGGGTATGATGTGGGATAATGAGGAAGAATGATGCAATAAAGAAGAGATGACACAAGTTAAGGAGGAAGGATAATGAAGACTAAAGAAGAGAAGATTAAATGAAATAAAGGGGAAAATAATGGAGAAAAAGAGGAACAGATGACATGGGATAAGAGGAAGAAGTGTAGAGTAAATATGAAGGTATGATGTGAGAAAAAGAGGGAGATGATTGTGAATAAAGAGGGGAGTCGGTATGGGATAAAGGGGAGAAATGATGGTAGATAAGGAGGAAGGGATGATGCGGGGTAAGGAGGAGGGGTGATGGACAATAAAGTAGAGGGAATGTCAAGGGATAAGAAAGAAGGGTACTAGGGAGTTAAGAGTAAAATATGACATAAATTAAGGGAGGGAGTGGTAGGCAATAAAGAAGAGAGGATGATGTATGATAAAGTGAAATGGTAGGAGAATAAAGAACAGATGATATGAAGTAAAGGGTGTGAGAAAAAAATAATGGATGACATAAGTAAAAGAGGATAGATAGCAAATAAAATCATGAGATGATGAATAACAAATGGAGAGTGATTTTGGAAAGATATAAGGGTATAATATAAAGGAGGGGTTCTCAATCTGTGGATTACAACTCATTGGAGGGTAACATATCAGATATCCTATATATCAGATATTTACATTATGATTCACAACAGTAGCAAAATTACAATTGTAAAGTAGCAACAAGACAATTTTATGGTTGAGGGTCATCACAACATGAGGAATTGTCTTAAAGGGTCACAGCATTAGGAAGATTGAGAACCATTGATATAGAAAAAAGAGGCTGGGTTGTATAGAATAACTGAGAAAATGTTATGGTTTGAAATATAGGGATGTAACAATGTAATCATAGGGGAAAATCAGAGGACAAAGGTCAGTAAAGGTATAAAATAATAGGCTTGGATGAAGGGAAATAATGAGAAGTAAAATGGAAAAAGTTAATTGATCTGATAAAGAGAATTTAAGAGTTAAAATAAGATAAATGATTAAAGAAAAGTAAGAAAAAAAAAAGAATAAACTAATGAGAGGATTTATAATTTGGATGCAGGAAGCTTAAATGGGAAAAATGGTAGATTTCTTCAACTGAGACACTCTGCTTGAATTTTTGACAAATGAAAACCTAGAAGCAGTTGGAAACATATAATGTACAAGCATAAGAATAATGTCAAACTATTGTTTGATTGATGGGGACCACTAACCATTCTTGAAAGCTTATAGCATCAGGACACACTAAGAAATTTCCATGTTCAAAGTGGAATAGTGAGTATTACTTGTTTATTTAATTTATTTTTTGAGAATTTCCTATATGGGTACTGTATTTACATCATTCCCCCCTCTTTCTCCTTTCCCCAATTAGTTCTAAATCCAATTAATTCCTTCTGAAAACCAGGGCCTCTTTAAGTATTATTGTTACACACACACACACACACACACACACACACATGATCTGTTGCGTTTATTTAGTGTTATTTATTTCTTTTAATAGAGGTTTATAGACAACAGTCATGTAACAAGAGTTTCTACTATAATAATAAACTTTGTAATAATTATAATGATAGTTAATACATGTGTAATTATTCCAAAGTATCTGGTATTATTACACATTTTACATACATTTATTTAACTTAACAGTCACACTAATTCCAGGTGATACACGTTATTGCCATAGTTCTAAAATTGAAACAGAGAGAGGTTAAATAACCTGCCCAAATTCATAGGTATAAATGTAGTCCACCTTCCAAACTGGGTTGGTTAAATACTAGATTCTATTGGCTCAGGCATATGGGGGGGGTTCTCAATTTCAGTAAGTAAGCTTCAGGTTCTTTTTCCCCCAAATATGTCTTTGCTCTCCACATAGAAAAAGCTGCTCAACAAAAATAATGCTATCTCCAACATTTGTATCCAGGTACCACAGATATTAACACTAATTTATCCCAACCTTTCTGTTTTGTTAATGGTAATACTAAGGCTGTCTTACTCAAGGCCAGAAGTCTGGGGAGAAGATTCAATTCCACAGCTTGGTGGGTGTAAATATATGACTCACAAAGTTTTTACTTGCGTTATTGCTCACTGAAATAAAAAAAAAACCTACCAAACAATAAAAAATATCCAGATAATTAAAAAAAAGCAAATCATTTTGATACAATCCCTTCACTTTCTGAATTCCCTAAAATGAAAGTTTCTTATGTTCTTCCCTGTCAGACTACTCACTGAGGAACTGTAGCTGCATTGGCATAAACATAGACATTTTAATAAACCTTATTGTAACGACCAGCACACAGACTTCCTTGATATCCAAATTTTGTGCTCAACCTGAGTGGCATAATAGACAATACTCATATACCCTGACTTCTCCACTCTATAGATTTCAGTACTCGAACCATACCCAGTCACTTGAAACTTCTAGGTATGGATGTATCTCTAATGAGCTGAGCTCCAATCCCTCTGAGACCCAAGTCTTCCAACAATATTTGAGTTCCCCAACATTTGCTCTTGGTATGGAATGAAGAGTACAGGGGCCCAATGTCTCCTCTTTAATTATTTCCTACCTAAACAGGATCTTGTAGCAAATGGATTTAGAAGTTGATATGGGATTCTCCTCTGTATGCTGAACTATATTTTATTACCATTGGTTAATAAAGAAACTGCTTTGGTCTATGG